CTTGACTAACTTTTCTGCTGCCATCTCTGCCATCAACCCCAATCAATGCGTCTTTCCAGCTACTTATTTTATTGCGTCAACCTTTCCACTTGTTTCCGACACGACTTCCATCTTCTTCCATTCTTTTTCACATCTTTGTCTCCTACGTCTCCCCTTTTACCTCCCATTGCCAAACCGTTCCGCTATCTTTATCACAATCATCCTCACGGTCGCCTTTCGCATCACTTCTGTTCTTTTGTAGTCCCTCAAGCAACTCAGGACTTTCCTTCACATCCGTCTTGTCCTCTCCTTTCCTTATCCCCCTCCACTCTCCTGCCTCCGTCACAAACGCCCTGAACGCCATCTTCCTCGCTGATTATTTTCTTCCGTCGCCCTCCTACGTTTGAGTCTGATTCCTTCCTGTTCTTTGCCACATTCTTCCTGTTGCAACGTAATGGGCAAATCCATTTTTTCTTCCGTGTCCTACATCTACTTGTTTCTGCCCTTCCTTACCTCCCTATCTCCCTTGCTCACTACCCTCCTTCGCAACACAATCGCTCTCAGTCCAGCCGCCTTTCCTGTCGTTCCATGACTCTCGCTGCTCTTCTCCAGAAGAACGTTGGGGCCTCCTGCAACTCCAACTCTTTCCCTTCTTCCTCCTCTCTTTTTCTGCTGTCGTATCTACAAGTAACCTCAGCGCTGACGCCTTCTCCGAAAGTTCGTTTCTTGTTCCCTTCGTCCATTTTGTGTCGTTCTTCCGTTATGTCAATCTCAGGCATTTCCATTTCCACCACTTCCACATCCACCTTCCCCTGCTACCCCGCCTCTGTCAATTAATTTATTCATAGCTTCTTTTATATATTTATTTCTTCATACGACGACACGGACACCTTCATTTCCTCCCACCTCCTCCTGCTTTTCCTCTTTCTCCTCCTCATTCTCCTCTCCCGCGGTCGTCGTCCTACCTGCTCCATTTCTTCTTCGGCCTCCGTCCCTGTCTCCTCTTTCTTTGAAAGTCACAATCAACCTCAGCGCTGTTACCTTTCGTTAAGCTACGATTCTTAAGTTTCCTCTCCAATCGTAGGTCTTACGCTCCTTCGCAGTCCGCCCGTCCTCTCCGCCCCGCGCCGCCCTCCATCCGCCCGCCGCGCCGCCGATCGCGCGCTTTTCCACGCCGCGCCGCGCCGCCCAGGCGTTGAATTATTTAACAGAAGTGAGCTAATTTATGGAACGCACGCTGATAGCGCCCATTAACGGACATGATTTGAGGATTTGGCTTAATTAAAACTCGTCCGAATGAATATGCACAGGGCGCGTCACTGACCTGGCGGGGGCGTGGTCGCGCCGAGGTCACGGAGGGGGACACTCGCGTCTTCGGCCCATTCCGGGGCATGGTGGTCTTCGAACGGAGTACCACAATTTCGGGTTGCTGCTTCATTGATATACATTGATTTTTTAGGCGTTCGGGCATAAATAATGGTTTTTGACGTTTTGGGCCAAATGTAGATTATACGCTTTTATTAACTGTAGCTCTCTTTCAGTATTCGAAGAATTCAAGAAAAGACGAAGGACAAATTTACTCCTTTCGAGTAATCAGTCATATCACATATCATTATCTATTTAAATAAATATTTGCTTTCAGCATATTTTGAAAAGGTTTTGAATACATTCGATTCAGAGTTATTGAGTTGAGTTATACTTAGAAGTCATTATTGTCCTAGAACTATGGCAGGAGTTATATGAGGCACGGGTTTAGGTGTTAACATTTAAAATTTCCTGAAGATGAACTCGGCCGAAAAAAGATGTGTAAAGTGTAGTGTCGTCTGCAAATAAGTCAATTTATGATTAAAGAAAGGAATATCGGAAATAAAAATATAGAATAGAATAGGAAAAGAGGAATGTATTGAGGTACTTCAGCAAGAATATGTTTAGAAGATGAACTATAGGTTTTTTAACTTAACAACTTCTGTTATTTTAAGTAATATGTTGTATATAGAGAAGCCAAATCGCCTCAATTAAGCATTTGTGTCAAACTTTTGTACAGAACTTCTAAAAAGGGAGTTGTATTTAATTATTTCTGGGACAGTCTATTTGTTGATTTCATGGCCAAGATAGGTATTTGGTTACAGGTTTTTTGTATTGTTTCTAGTGAAAACTGTTTCAAAACAATTAGCTAACAGCTCCACTTTTTCTGAATCGGTATTAATTGTAAAATTGACCGTTGTAATTGTAATATATGGTTTTTTCCTTTTGTAAATTATTTTGAAGTGTACCAGTGGGTAAGAAGCTGAATTTGTGCTGTAAATGTATTAAAATGATTTTGTACTCTATAAAGTTCTAATTGATAATTGATTAACTTATTTATTTAGTGAATTTAATTTCGTTTTTAGGGAGGGATCGCGAGAAATTTACCACGATCTTCGAAACCTATGTTTGAAGGCAATTAAATTTAAAATATTATTGGTTAGTGAATATATAGTTATTTTATTATTATTTCTATTATTATTATTATTATTATTATTATTATTATTATTATTGATATTCTAATGTCTGTATTGTTTGGGTTACTTAAATTAGAGAGGTATGTAGTTATAATACCGTCATGTGATAATGAAATCATTTCCAATGTATTATGTTTTTACAAAAAGACTGTGAATGGAACAAAAATACATTTTGAGATCAGAAAAAAAGGAATGTGTGAAAGCATATGACTATGTGTTTGATACTAATTGAATGATAACTACTCCAGCTCCAGGGTGAATTGAGTGTCTATATTTGCGATAAATTTTATATCCTGATATATTTAGTTAAATATTTGGATTAAGACATGTTTCTGTAATTCAAATTACGTCTATTTTATAATTATATAACATTTTTTTGAAGTCTTATAATTGACGAAGTCGATTGAAATTCAAGATTTTGAATAACGAAAAAAGTTGGTATTATTTTTACGCCAAAGCAGTCGGTTGCAAAAACATTTACGAAAAGTGATTTTTCCAATTAGATTTACAAAACAAATTGTTATTGAAAACAGCTCTTGAACTCTTACTGAGATTTAGCTTTGCTCAAGTGCTCGTATAATTGCAGATGTTAGTCGTACATTTATTTCTCAAGGGATAATAACTCTTACACTGTCTTGCTTTGTTTTTCGGCATTTAAGCTACATTACAAGTGAAAGCAAAGGCCCACAAAGGGTTGTAGTGCTAATAGAAGAAGCTGTATTACATTCCACAGTTCACAAAGTAATGCCTTTAGTGATGTTTCATTATCCTGCACATGTATAGGAGGATAAAATTACTGTGAAAGGAACAGTAAGAATAAATTCGAAACGAAAATAGTATTGCAACTACAACCACTTTTAAAAATTACTCCACTCCATCTCACGAAATAGCACATCTCACTGACAGACGTTGCAAGGAGTGAAGCAGTTGCAAGGCGATTAACTCGAGACCCTTCGCCTCATCGCTTTGTCATTTCAGCCAGTCTGTTTGTTGGAGGGAAAACAGTCATGTGCACCGAGCTCACTGCGCACTTTTATTCAGTGATTCCCACTCGAGGTTTCGTAATACCAAAGGTAGTATGGAGTTACCTCGGATAAAAATATTAATTTTTCTAGTGCATATAATATTTTATTTACATAACTCATACATCAATACAGGAATGACTCGAGTCTGAAGGGGAAAAGAAACAGTTCAAGGTTTCGAATACTCGAAATATACTCGCTAAATATCTGCGAGAAATAATGAAAAATCCAAGTTTCATCCTATCTGAGTTTCACTTATGCAACCGATTTCTATCATAAGCTTTCAGTATAAATGCGAAAAAAATATTTACGGCAGATTTGTTTGATAGAAAAATGATTCTTTACGTCTGTAGCTCAGTAGAACTCTGTAGTAATTACTGGCGTGTTCTTTCACCGAGTTTAAAACATTCTTATTTACATATCACATTACAGATCCTCTTTCGATTGGAAGCATCTGATTTATTTTCCCTGTCCCATTCTTAGAGTATGGTAACGGAAAAACAATAACGAGTATTTGCCATGATCCACCCAATATATTATACGTAAAATATTTATTGTTTTGTCAATGTACGATTATGTACTGCGTCCCCGCGTCGCACAAAGTGATTGTTTGACTTTTGCTTTTTGAAGATTTCTCACAAAGGAGTAAAAGGAAATCACTTTATATTCTTGTAACGGGTGGATGAAGAAAATACTTAGGTGGCTGACAACTTTGGTTCCGAGCTTGAATAATAACGAGGTCGGGCCAGTTACCGAGGTTGCAAAGGCATTAGTTCAGTAGTGTGCTCGGTTTGGGAGGCACGGTTTTTTATCTATGTGTTCTGCCATATTGGGCCATGAATCACCATTCTCAAGACTTCCCTTCGTTTCTGACCCTTTCGGATGGCGTAGGAACAAGTGCGGGTGTGCAAAGTTCGTGTGCGTTAAACAGAATCTTCCCTTCCGCCGGTAATAGTTCCTGGGCCACACCCGGTGACATTCGTACATCAGGGACAAAGAGAGGCGCTGCATAAGCGCGTCCATGGTCTTTCCACAAGCTAATTAATTACTGTCTGGCTCATGTGGGCACACGGGTGACTCTAGTGCGGAATTACCGCAAATATGGGCTTGTGGGCCACTTGGGTGCCAGTAGGGGAATATTGGTAAGGGCCGTTCATAAATTTCACGGGCTCCTGGAGATACGTTTGTGACTCCTTCCCCCTCAATTTTATCACCCCATAGGAGTTTTTAAATTATTAAAACTATTGATCCTTATTGGACTTTAACAACAAAAATTACAATTGAATAAATAAGAAAAATATAAAGAACGTTTTTTCCATGCTCCCCTTCTAAAACCCTGGGCCCTCTGGAAAAGATATTAAAATTGTTAGCACGAAAAATAAAGAAGGGAATACTTATTTAGAATGTGATTAGATTGAGTAGCATGACAATGAAACGTTGCATTGAGGAGGGAGGTCTGCCACGTGTCCGCCTGACCATCATGGCGCGGCTGTTGCAGTGGCGGTGTGGTCGGGCGTGAACGTGGCTGGCGTGCGCCTTCGCGACCTCAACCCAAACATCGGCACCGAGAACGACCCGGAGAAGTGGACCGACCTGCACACGCGGGTCATCAGGAGGTGAGCCCAAGCAATTGATCTTTAAACTACAGTATGTTAACCGGTATTTGCATTCTACCAGGCAAGCAGTGGCATTATTGTCGACCTCAACTTTGACAGGCCTAAAAGTATTACATATTAGAAGATGTGGGAGTAAATTAAATGAAAATCATGAATAAATGAGAGTAAATGATAAATTAATGAATGTGTCTGTTACTGAGTTATCTCCACATTTTATTTCTCTCTTCTGTTATTTTATGTGATACTTAAATAGTCAAGCAATCCGTAGTTTCATAAAACAATTGTTTTACGAGCATTTGAATTTGAACTTCAAAATGAAAAACAAATACATTTTCAGTAAACCACTCGACCCTGTGGGATTTCTGGAAAAGAAACAGCTAGTAATTTAGGAAAAAGAAACAAAAATGATATTAACAAACAAATTACACGAATTTAGTATGCATTAAATCTTCAGTACAGCCAAGAAGTTCTTTCCTCATGTTGAAGCATAATATTCCCATCAACACTCGAGGAAATCTGTTGATTACACCTTGAACTCGATAGTTTATGTACAATGTCACTTATGTACAATATATGCATCTCTATTGAAAGCAAATAAAAACTTACATACAACGTGTGACAAACACAATGGTTTTTACAGAATAAAAGCTGGAATTTTAAAATTTAAAATGCTTTCGTCATCTGGAAGTAAAGAGATACTGGATTTTAACGTCCATACAATATTGGTACATTCATTTTAAAATAGTAGTCACAGGCTAGTTGAACTGAGTAATTGGGAAATGTATTTTTACATCAAAAAGCACGTAAATACACCTCAAAATCTGTTGAATGTACTGACCGGACATTTACTGTTTGATGCGTGTTTCAACTTCCTTTTTCATTATCTAGAAACCTTACCCAATGTTTTCCAAACTGAAAATGTAAGAGAGTTCTGTCGACATATGAAAGGGAAGTATTCTGTACTGAAGAGCAATTTAGTGTTATTCTTGAAGATAAAGTTTGGACATCAATAATACGGACTATAAACTCTTTTTTCTTTCCTTAATGAAATTACTGTTGTAAATAACTCATTTGTTACTTTTAATTTTAGTATGTGTTCGTACAAGTATATTGTACTTGTATATTCATTGTTCAGTATAGCAATTAAATAGTTAACTGTATGAATTTACTCCAATGTTGAACAAAGTTCATAATCCTCCTGTCATAATCTTCAACCCACCACCAAACTCATCGCGAATTGGTACAACATTACTAGTTATTCTTATTTTGTAACGAAGTTTTAAAATGCCTACGGAACTCGTGTGAGATCCAGAGAATATTCCCAACTCGTGGTGAAAGTGATAGTGACATATGCCGAAAATAAGACCAATTTTCCAATATTAATGTATTTTGAAGCAGTGCGACTTAGCTGCAGTATATCTCTTAACGCACTCCGAAATTAATGTGTGAGCAACTCCTTAAATATACAGGTGTCCCACCCCCGTAACTTCTAAACGGTTCGCGATATCGAAATGCAAATTTCGTTGGACAATGCGGAAGCATGGGGTAAGTAACATGTAGGGAAATGGTCTATAATATTTTGTTTTCGACAAATTTAATCATCTTTGATTTAAATAAAACAATAGATTTTTTCTTACCAGCAATGGGTAGATCGTGAAGAGAGGAATAAAATGATGTATTAAGATGATGAATAAAATGATGTTTATTTTGATAGTAATTTGAGTATAAAATTAGACTTTCTGACATGTTATTTTTAAGTAAACGGACAGATCCTGAAGCATCCCTTGAACAATCCCCGTTAGGGAAGTGTGAAGGTGGCCTTCCCGGTGTCGATACTGTTTCGTGTAGATAGAAGTCTGAGTGGGGTGGCCGTGAAGGATAGAGGCATAACTACAGCAATCCATGATCTTGACACGAAGATCATCTCAATGAACATCAATATTAACGATCAGAATAAGAGATTTTTCCCTTTTGTTCTTCTCTTTTTATTTAAATTTAATAAATTTAAATTATTAAATCTTCTTCTACCGAAATTCCAAGCAACAATAATAGAAAAGAACAACAATAAAAATATTGTATGGGAAGGCCAATAATAATGAAGGTCGTTTTCAAACTTACAAGAATCGAGCTCATTGTGTTAAAACAGAAACAAGCCATCATTTTAAAACATGACAAGGGAATGAATGCTTGAAGATTTTCATTAAAATATGTCGATAAATTCATTAAATAGCAAATAGGTAGACTATTTCTCTTATTATTTACAGTTAATAAACTGTCTATTTAAACATGTATCAAAAGTACGAATTAATAAATATTTTGGAATACTCTTGTCAGTTCAATAAGTGTAAATTTACCAAACTTTAACAAAAATGTGCATCTGCAGTCGCGACTTCTAATACGGATTGGAGAGTTGCTCACTTCATAGCGCCACGTGCTGCCACAAACTTGAAAACTCACAGCAGTAGTCGAATGTTTCCGAAATGAAGAAGTGATCATCGTAATTAAAAATTAAATTTACCAGCGAAGGTAGTTGGATTCTTGTCAAGTTTGAAAAGGATATTTATTATTATCATCTTCCTTACGCTACTAATTTTTGTATTGTTCTTTAGAATTATCGATTTTTGAAATTTCAGTAGAAGAACAGTGAAATACAGATGAATTAATGAAAAAAATCTCTCATTCTGATCGATAAAATTGGTGTTTCTGAGTGTGACCTCGTTGTCAAGACCCATGAATTGCTGTAGTTATGCCTCTTATCCCTCACTTCCACCTTTCTCAGTCTCTCCTCTTCCCACCAGTCTTGACGCCGTGAAGGCTACCTTCCCCTAAGGCGTGAGTTGCAAGGGCATGAAATATTGTCCGTTTAATTCAAAATCACATATTAAAAAGTCTAATTTTATATTCAAATTACTATCAAAATACCAATACATGATACATTATTTTATTAATCTTTTCATATTTTACCCATTGCTGGTGAGACAAATATATAGTTCTATATAAAAACTCAAAGATTAAATTTCTTGGAAACAAAAAATATTGTATTCAATTTCTTTGCGGCATGCTACTTGCCCTATGATTCCGCATTGTTCAGCGAAAACTGCATTTCGATATCCTGAACCGTCTAGAAGTTATGGGAGTGGTCCATAGTTCGTAGAACACCTGTATATTTCGAAGGTTTTCCATTCTGCTGGCCATTTAGCTGCAAAGTAATGCGATAAGCTAAAATAAACCGAAAACGAAGTTCAGTTCAGTACGGTGACTGAAACGTTTTGCACATTTTACTGCTTACGTAGTATAGAGAAAGTTATGTAATGATGCAGCGAAAACGGAGATTTTTCGACTTATTTTGCCAGGTTCCAGAGCCAGGTTTTGTCAGCCATTTTTCGACTCTCTTTTTGCCAGGTTTCGTAACGAGTAATTGGATAAATCTTGTTTTTATTTGTAGGAAATTACTTCTTATATCATGTTGTGTAACCAAAATCAATCTTTTGTACCTGGAATTTCAAAATTGTATAACAATTAACAATGTTAAAAAATTGATAAAAATATTTGAGATTTTTATTTTTATTCTTATATTATCAATGCTGCAACACAGGTTATTTTAAATTAATTTTCAAATTTTCTTTTAATTGACTTTAATTATTTCAAAAAAATATTGCGAATACGTAGCGTCACTTTGATGGTCAAGCCAAACTTATTTCCAATTAATCGATTAATTATTACATTTCTTAACATTGCACTAAATCGATTAGAATTAAATGAAAGCGTTTTGCGATTACTACGCATAGTGACTTTAAATGCCGGGGTGGCGGTCGTGCACCGACGACACTGCCGTTCCACACATAATCAAGAAGTGAAAGGCCAGTGGCCGAAATGCCCATTCAACAGGGAAATATTTCCAATTGAAGGAGGTCACACCTCAAGTGAAGTGTCGGCACTGCGTGTAGCAGTACTCGAGGGGTTGGTTTTCTCCAAATGCACAGCTCTAATTCCGATATTACATAGTATACTAGTTATATAGAACTAAATATGCTTGAATAGGGAAAGTGTTTTGATTGGAGCGCAAACACCGTACAACTGATTAGACAACGATCCGACCCGATCATACATAATTTCTGTTACGAATAGAAGTGTTATGTATAAGAAGTTCATTATCAATCTTACAGCTTGCGTTTCTATGTGCGAAGGTTGCAGATCAGTGTTCATTAGACCGTTGACAGTATTTCATCAGTGGTTGGTTGCAAAGCACTATGAGAGAAAGCGCGCAGTCAAACACAGATGTTTAAAAACCATCGCTGACGCCTTTGTGTCTGCTTCGGTCAGCCCGCGGCCACTTCAAACGATCGAGAACGCCCGCCAACGGGTCTCGGTGACCCTGCTGAAGTTATTATTTCTGAATCATAACGTTTCGCCTAAAAGTCTAAAGTATTTCATTTCGTGAATTGTTCAATTGTTGGTGCGTTTTTCAGTGATATTTCTTCTAGTGAAGTCCCGAAAAACGTTATTTTCCGGTGCGGTGAGTGTTTCGATTAAAAATATCTCTATTATCAATTATTCGATTCTTTCGCATATTCCCTTCTTATAGTTCAGTTATTTTTATTATTTGCACTTTTGCGGTTTTTCATTTGATTCTCTTACATACTTTGGCAGAGTTTCCAAAAAGTCTAATCATTAATCTTTTTTAACTGCACTGCAATCTATCGAGTTAATGATCGTTTCCAAAGCCAGATCTTTTTTTACTTTCTTGTATACGTCCATAAGTAGGGAGAGTATACGAGAACACGTAGTACAGAAAAAGCATGTAATGCTGTAGAATATCGATGTTGTGATTTCAACTGAAATACACGTTTTGGGATTCGTCTGGTACTGGTCTGGAAAAAGGGTTTTTTTTTCAAAACGTCCCTCTGCTCGCCCGTCTATACATCTGTAAACAACACTAGTGCCAAATCTATTCGTAAGATTTTTGTCAAAATGAATATTCCTGATCGATCGGGCCCAAC